CAAAACATGCGTTTTAGCTCTTTTATTGTCTTCATGTTATATGTATTTAGAAAACTTTGGGTTTGTTTTTTGTTATTTTTGTTTGGTGTTGGTGAATCATTTCGAAGAGTTATATATATAGAGAGAAATTATTTAGAAGTAAAGGTGAAATCATTTATGGTATTTAGGCTAATAAGCTTTTTCGTGGTTTGGGTGGAAAACAAGCTTGGAATCATGAGACAGAGTTTATAACTTTAAGGGTTCAAAACTTCAAACACAACTTATTTACCGTATGATTGATCGCTTATGTATACTGATCTAATTATGACGTCAAAGCCAGAATAATTTTTAAATTAATTTTATCTTAGTAACTTGGATCCAAGTCATTGACTCACGTTTGGATTATATTAGACTGTTCACACACAACCAAACTGAAAATATGTGATTGATTTTTTAATGCGATCCGAAAACAAGAGGATCATACGTATACCAGTAATGGTCGATAATTTTCTTTTCCTTTTCCAAAAAAAAAAAAAAAAGAGTATAGTCTCCTTTATTGGTAGGTCTGGAAGATGTAGATCCAATCAACGGAAATTTGACTTTGGAAACTTTACCTGTCTATTGAATTTTGAGAAATTGGGTGAAAATATCTTAGAATAGTGCATTAATTAGCCAAATAACACATATTGTATAGGAAGAGAAATTTCAAAAATACCATTTTTCAAGTGCCAATTTACAAAATTGTCATATTTTTGAAATCTTTATAAAAATGCCACTTTTTCAAAATTATTTTTTCTTTATATTATCTATGTTTGGGTTAATTATGTTCTATTAGGGTTTAGTTTTGAGTGTTTAAGGGGTTTTAGGTGTCAAAACATTTTTTAAAGTTTAGAATTTTAAGATATAAGCTTTATAAATCGATAATTAGTGACATTTTTGTAAATAGACATCTCTAAGTAATATTTTTGCAAATGTGCACACAAAAAATGATATTTTTGTAATTGTCTCTTGTAACAAAATGATATCC